ATATGATGTGGCTAAGCTTTTTTCACCAAATGGCTGACTTGTGATCACGTCACATAAAAAACTCCATTTTAATTCTTTATTTTAATTCTTCTAGTTTCTTTTCATATGCGCAGGAGAAATGGTACACATTTAGAATGCAGATACTGATGGCATTTGTTTGTTTGCTTTTAAAAAATGATCATCTCAAGTAATTCAAACTGTTTGATAAATCTGTCCATGTCTTTCTCTCTTGGGGCGATCACGCCATGGTAACTATTCTCCTACATTAACTGGCAGGACTTGCTATTCTGCCTGTAACTGGATGGAGTGGGTTCAGATGCAAGCTGGGAAAAAAAAAAAACACCTCTGCAGTGAGATCTGCGGTAATTCAGAGCCATGCGACTCCATTCACTAAGAATTCCTTGAGCTATTGTCTACCTGATTGAACACCAGAGTAGAAAACAGTGTCATTCCTGCCTCAAACCTTACTCTGAGATTGTAATAGCATTTGTAAATTCAGACTTTTCTGCACATGAAATTTTGTTCCAGACATCAAGTAGGAGACTGAACTCACTGTGTTTAGATTATAGGTGATTAATGACTGAGACTACTGAAGGACCTCCCTCCTTCCACCATTCTCTTCCTTCCTTTTTAACTCCTAAGTGAGATGTAGGCGGACTCTGTAGATGAGCTCTCTACTGGCTTTAGAAATTCTTCACTTCAGTTCTGACTGTGATCTACTAGCTCTTCTCTCTTTGTTTTGTATTTCGTACCCGCTCCTGACCAGTCATCCCAGAGGTCATGATGTGCTGGGCAAGGGAAAAGCCTGTCCCTTTCCGGCATACGATCTGGCCAGATTGTGAAACCAATCCACTGACACACAGAATGGAAAGTGTGAGAGCGCTCCAACACAGGTGACTATATTTAGAAATGCAAACAAGAAAAGCAAGGAGCAGAGGTTAAGAGTCTAGAACTAAAATCGCACATATTGAAGAGGAACGAGAAGGGTCGAACATAAAATCAAACCAGCGGGAAATACAGAAGAATGATCTCACAGAAAAATCTCCATCAAAGGACTTGTAAAAACCAAAACCAGAGCCACGGAAAGTAAGACTCTACGTAGGAAATGGAGGGAAATAAATTATGTGGAGACATGCTTCTCAGCTCACTGAGGGCTGACTCAAAGAAGAAGGCTCAATGCTAAGCTTCAGCTGTGAAGTGAGCATTCTGGCAACCACAATCAATGTGCTACTGCTTACATTTTCAGACTTAATGAATTCTTGTGCACAATGTAATAATATTCCATCACATCCACACAGTCATATCTCCCAAAAAATGGTGACTATCGAGTTTTCCTAATGAAAAATTATCTTTTGAGATTCTTTAGGAATGAAGTTAGAAGTTTTATCGACCCTTTCATAAAACTAGAATATTTACTCCAAAATTCAAATAAGTTTACCATAAGCTCCAAGAGGAGACAGTAAGACTACCCTGACCCCCTCTGCTCTCAGGACATGCTATGATTTTGTGGCTCAGCCTGGCCTCAAGCTGTAGCCCAGGCTGGTCTAAAGCTCATGGCAATCCTCCTGTCTCAAGAATTTCAAAGGTTCTCTGACTGCAAGCCATCATATCTGTCAAGGCTCGTTGGGTAAGATTTTTTTTTCTCCTGGGAATAACCTTCAATATCTTTCAATTACTCAAAGTCTCAAAGTCATATCATGCAATCATAACTTCAGAAAATATAAAATACCCAAACAGACTTGTTGACATGAATGACATGGATTCTTATTAAACACGATGGAATAAAGCCATGGCAGAGAGTTACCATGAGACTTAGCACATGCCCTTAGACTTAGCACTGCACACCTGGTTTGTCTGAATTGCCGGAGATCATCAAGCCGTTTGGAAATTACAAGTTGTCTCCATCCATAATGCGTGTGGCAGTGAAGTCAGCAAAATAAATGTGCGTGCTCTAGACTTTGCTTTACATACTACAGGCAAATATGATATCATATTGGATCTTCTTGGTACTACCTTGCCTCAGCTATGGAAATGTGCCGTGGTGAGGGAGATATATAAAACACCTTTTACAGAAACACTCTGGTGTTTTTCATGGAAAAGAATGTAACCTCTTATTTTAATTCAGAAACCTCAAACTGAAAGGTATTATTATTCCATATGCTAAGAAAAAGAGTAATTTGAAAGTAAAATTTAACTTCGTTTCCATTCTAACAATTATCACTTTTTTATTGCTTCTTTTTTCATCTTTGAAGTTCTGATATTCTTCTGTGCCTGGGGCACCATTCTATTACTTCTGGAATCAAGCAACCTCATCCTCTATCTTCCTCAAGTTGGGGAGGCCAATATACAGATGAAGGAAATCTAAATCTGTGTCCTCCCTGCCCTTCGTGGTACAACCTCTCCCCACCTGTTCCTGCCCCCTTCACTTCCCAGGAAAGGGATGTGTGTCAATTGGCTGAGTGAGTGCCACCACCTTGCACAGGGTGGATTTCAGCCTGGAAGGCTGCAGAAAATAGCACTCCAGGGGTGCGGG